AGTAAGACACAGCTCTTATCTATAACACAGAACAGCTAGCACTGGCAAAAATAGAAGCCTGCATTTTTCATCCGAAAATAATAACGCTAAGGAAATACTTTAAAAAATCTTAAAGCAGAGAGTAGTGAAGAAAAAGCAGTCAAGTAAATACAGTGTGAGCTATCAACAAGGGAGCAAACTGAGTTTTCTAAAAAGCATACGCTCCCCTCTCCACAATCCACTTAGACTATTAATGAGAAATGGAGCCACGGGAGTGAAAGTTTATCTATTACAGTTGCCCAACAATGAGACACTGCACTGGGAGATGAAACCAGAACTGCTTTCATCCAGTCAGGTGTTGTTTTGAGAAAAATAAGTAAAATTCAACAAATTCCCTTCTAAGCAGTAGCTAGTTTCTTGACTTTCACCTTCAATTTCTTTTCATTCAATCACAAATTAAGTCTTTACAACATGATGCAGACTCTCTTACTTGCCTTGAACCTTTACCAGATTAAGTGAGAAAGGAAATGCTACTGTCTTCCCTAAGTACTATTCTATTACAGTAGCACAAACCTCACATGGAAAGGTAAAAGTATATCAAATAGTACAAGGAAGAACAGATGAAAAATTGAAAGCCAGAGATCCCTGAAAATGCATTTGTTTATGAATGACATCCCAGAAGACACTGAGCAAAATCAGGAGTTCAGTGGATGTTCTCCTCTTAAAGAATCTCCTTCCACCACAATTCACAGAGACTAATACTGGTTTTCTCATCTCCCTAGAGACTACTGAATGGAAAAGCAGGAAAATCCTAAAGGAACAAGCTTTTAGTGCCTGAAGCTCTAGGAAGTTCAGTAAGAATTTTGAAGTCTCCCTTTGAGGGAAGCAATTAGAACCAATAACAGAAGCAGAAGCAGACATTAAGTTGTAATTAAAAGAAGCAAGCAAAATGCCAGTTTGCAGTGCCAGTTGATCTGTGGGGACTTATCAGAGAAGCGTTAGCTCCTTATTCCAGTTCTAATTCTTCTGTTTATTTGAGGTATAGTTATTATTGCACCAGGTGACTTGCAGTCTGAAGTGTAATTGCAAATTTGATTTTCCAACACCTCTTACCAATAGAGATGCATTTCAGTTTGAGTTTTTATAGCCCTGAGAAAAATAAAATACAGGAAAAAGGCGATATACATAGGAGGAATCTAAAAAGCAGGTGAAACAAAGGACTGTACACACAGTAAGAAGTCAATGTAGTACAAGAAAAGAAACATGATGGAACTACTTAATTTTAAAAATGAGGCAGAAGGAGTGACGAACCATACCCAAAACCCTCCTTCAACCACCAAAATAAATGATGAGCCAAGACAGCTCTAACAATCCAAGACATTAAGCAACCAATGAAGCTACAGATACTTCTTTTACTTAAACAACGTTAAAACAGCATTAGCAAACCTGCTCCTGTAGGTGGCCTGAAAAGTAGAATCAATGTCAGTTATGTGAACAATGCGTATGTTGTGCTTGTGAAGTATTTTCAAAGAATATTTTTCAAATTAAATTTTATACCATAATGGTAGCTCTTCAACATAATCTTTGATACACAACAGCTTGCGTGCAATACCTTTTAAATCTAAAGCTACTTCTATGGCAGAACTCAAAAGTATTATGTTAGTATAAAAGAGATTTCCGCATACCTTTGTTTTCCTTTCTCATCCATATTTTGATCTTGTATAAGGTCTCGACGTGTTCGCTCTTTGGAGGTAGCAACAACAGAAGATGGCAACGCTGGCTACAACAAAGAAAAACAAACTTTGTTCATCATGTTGCAGGCAGGTTTCTTCTTGCACAGCTCCATTTACTATATATTACCTTTTTAATATCATCATCCTCTGCGTCGCTTTCTTGGCGTGATTCTCTTCTTGTCCGACGTTCTCCACCCAGCCTGAGGAAGAAAGTCAGTGGTCACTAGAGATTTAGGAAAGAATCTCTTCCAGCACGAGGAAAATACAAGCATGTCTAATCAGAAGAATCAACGCTTTGGTAAAAATCTCCCCACTGTTCCAACAGCCAGTAAGTAACATTTTACAGACAGAATATACTGTTGGTGAAAATCAGTGAGACAGAACAGTTTAAATTTTAATACAACTTGCAGAGCAATAAAAGCAGAAATGCAAATACCGTATCTGACTTTAAAAATATATTTGGAATTCATTCTTTTAAATGTTTGTGCTTTTCCAGAACCTCTAAAATGGCTACTGGTATAAAGGGATCACTAGACTAAATGCATTGACTTGGAAAGATTGGTACAATTTCTTAAACAGGAAATATTACTTAAGTAAGTTACCTACTAAATACCTATGAAAGAGAGGCAGAGGGCTTACCACTTGAGACATGGATGAACTAAAGCTTTAACAAAAAACAACTTAAAACAAATAATTTAAATAAAATAAAACATAAAATAAATAATTCAAGTTATTTTCAGCCTTCATTTTCAGCTTTGTGGCACAATACTTTCCTGTTTCCCAGCTTCATTTTCTGCTAACTCAAAAATTCCAAAGCAATCTTTGCTTTGGTCAAGAACTACCACTGCACATTAAGCGCCCACACCACTTAAGCTTTACTTACATCAGTCACATCTGATGGATTTGCATCCAGATGTGAAAGCTCAAAACCAAGTCCATTGTCACAATGCCTGTATTCAATTTATTGAACAGGAGGTCCTAGTCATAATTCAATTTGTGTTCACTGCAAGCAAATATAACTACTAAGAACATAATATAGCAAATTGTATGCCAAATAAAACCAGAAAATTCCAAATACCTTTGCATTGTGGTATCTTTATAATATTGCTACCATGTTTATGTTGCTCTAAGATATGAAAAAGATTTCACCACAGTGATTTGATATCACCCAAATTATTCACAACAAGTCTTGAATAAGTAATCTCCAAAGAAGACAGTGAAAGTCTCCAGTTATTACCAGTTTTTCAGTTTACTGTTACAAATTCTCACTTGGAAAAGCAAGTTGGCAGCACTTGTTTTTGCACTCACCTACTGGATGCACCTTCAAGATCCCTCTGTTTGGCTGGGGGTCCTCCTCCACTATCCGAGAATCCACGCCTAAAAAGAAAACACTTGTGGTCTTAAAACAAGTTAGGTTAATCCCTAGACCACCTCAAGTCTACGCAATTGAACTATAATTTGGCTTCATGGTCATGATGTAAAACAAATTTTAGCCAGCTCTATCACCATTTACTGTTAATACTGCAGGGAAGTGTTCACATTGCTTGTGAACCATCTAACTTCACCTTGAATTTCTGTATTCATTTAATTGAGGAGCTACAGAGAACAAGCATCCCATTGTGTTCAAATAATCTTATCTGCAGTACTTTTCAGCATGTGGTTTTATCCACATGTATTTTAAAATCCTTCCCGGAGCACCTACCAGTTTTTTTATCACCAAGAGATTGATCTTGAACGATTTCAAAGATAAGGTCCCAGCCACCACACAATAACTCCCTTCGTTTTGACGTTTGCCCTTATTTTTCAGTTTAACAGCTGAGAAAGTCAGGGAAAACCACCCATTTAAACTTGTTTCAACTCGCAATGAAAAGGCGCTTTAAATTTAACCCCCAAAGCCCTGGAGAGCAGCTCTAGTGCTCATTCAAACAGCACCGCAGCGAGCAGCGGAGGCAAGCGAGGAACACACCACACCCAGGGCAACGGCACGAATCACTGCCAGAGAAAGGATGGATGGAACTCCACCGTCCGTTCTGCGCCTCCTTACCTTAGCAATAAGCTCCCACGCCCTCTACCTCCACCGGGGCCTGTGAGGGCTAACAGCCTGTTTTGAGGGGGCCTGAAAGAGACGGTAGGCGCTATTAGTGGTACCCGCCCGGCCCCCGCGGCGCTGCTGCCCGCCCGGCCCAACGGGCCCGCGGCCGTTCCGCCCTGTGCTCCGCGGCCGTGCCCCCCCACCAGGGGCAGAGCTCCCCCATCGCCGCGCCAGAGGAACAGGCACGGCCTGCAATAGGACGCGGGGAACCACGGCCGGTTCCGCGCCGCCCGCCCTGCAGGCCCGACAAGCGCCCCCCTCCGCCCGGCCGTGCCTTCGCGGGACAGCGGCGCGCCCGGCGCTCCCCGCCTCACCTCACATCATTGGGGTCCCGGCCCGTGAGCTTGCGGATATTCTCGTCCACGTGCTTAAGGCTTTCTTTGGCTTTCTCCAGCTGCTCCTGCAGTGCGCGCACCGCCACCGCCATCCCGCCCGCCGCGCGGCCTGGCCGGGCCCCACGCAAGGCAGCGCTGGGAAACAGGGGGAACAGGCCCCGCCCACTCCCGTGGCCGCGGGCTGAGACGGCCCAGCCAATCGCATCCCGGCGGCCCCCTCTGAACCACCAATCACCGGGCACGAGAGGAAAGGGCACGCCCCCAGGTGGCTCGCCGAAAGCGCTCACCAATCACAGAGCCAAAGAGCAGACTGGCATCTCGGCCGCCCAATTAGCTGAAGGCTCTGCCCGTTAGCTCGACGAATCAATGAAAGTGGCCGCCGGAGTGACGTGACACAGAGCTAATAAGAACTCAAAAACCCCGTAGCCCAATCAGAAAACCACTTCGAGGCCACTTGTTCCCACCCGCCTGGGACACATCCTGCTTTCCCACTCTCAATGGAGCCGAGGAGCTGGCACGTTCGGGACTCGGGCCAATCACCGCTGCGCTACCAGAGGCGGCTGTGCCCGGCGAGCCAATAGACGAGGGCGTTACTTGACGCTGGCTGGGGTGGTGGCCTGACGCGTGCTGGACCCGCTGCTGCCTTCACATCCCGGCCGGAGCGGCGTGGCAGGGCAGCTCCGTACTGCGCGTTAGGCATAGCGCCCGGGGGCGGTGGCGAGGCTTTAAACCACGCTCTTCCCCGGCTGAAGCCGACGTCGCTCCGTGGCTCCCCGCGGCGGGCAGGGCAAGGCACGGGCGCTGTGGTGAAGGCAGTGACACACGCGCGCCTCGCCTGGCTCCAGCAGTAGAGTGGGAGGGACGCGTTTGATCCCCGGCTCCAGCCCTCGCTCACACCTTGGGCTGCCCGCGCCGCCCGAGTCCGCGGACTCTGCAGAGCCTTAACGCGAGAGCCCCTTTCCCAGTGCTTCCCTGGCGGGGAGAACCGGCCCGGCTGGCACTGCTGGGCCGGCCCGTCTCGGCCCGGAGCTCCCGCGGGTGTCCGGGCTACCCCGGAAGGGGCGGTGGCCCCGGCGATGGCGGACGAGGCGTTGTTCCTGCTGCTGCACAGCGAGATGGTGGCGGGGCTGTACCGCGCCGCCGAGCAGGGCGAAGGGGTGAGTGGGGCCGGGGCCGCCCCGGGGCCGCCTGGCAGAGGCCGGGGCTGACGCTGCGGCCGCGGCGCCTTGTGTCTTGCAGGAGAACGGGCGCTGCACCACCAAGCTGGAGAGCATGGGCTTCCGTGTCGGGCAGGGGCTCATCGAGAGGTGAGTCCCCGCCGGGCCCCGGCAGCCGCTGATCGTTCTCGGGGCTTTCACCTCGCCGGTAAAGCACACCTGCCCGGGCAAGTGTGGTGCTTTGGCTGGACGGAGAGTGCGTTCTTCTTACCATCAGTTGTTCCGGCATCTTCTCTTTTCGTATCTCATTCTTGTGGGAATTTGTGTTTGTGTATCACGGGACAGTTTTGGATTGTGTTGTTTTCCTAATGCTTCCCGTCGTGAAAACCGAGTTAGGGTGCATAGTTACTTTTAATACTTAAAGTTATCTTTAATTCTACTTTGTGTGGACTTTTGCATGTTTCCTGCTTCTGGTGCATTTTGTGACTTCATTCTTTTTCTGGTTGACTTCTTAAGCATAATTTTATGTTTGGCTGTTAATCTATTTCGTTTTGATGAAGTGCTCTCAGTCCTCGGGACTGAGCAGCTCGGGCCCTTTGGGGACCCGCCATGCATCTCCAGCGCCCTCGTTCCGAGGTCGTGCGGAGACTCTTGAGTTTCTGAAGTCGTGCTTTTGTTGAATAAAGTCGTCCTTTAGTGCCAGGTAAAGACCCTCAAGGAGGATAAAGGGAGAGAAAGCTGAAATAAGCAAGAGAAAGAGGTCCCTTCTGAAAAATGGGAACAAGTTTTACATTCTTGTTCCTATGTTAGAGGTCTTTTGCGTATTTGAAGGACTCCTTCCAAGGAGTAGTATAGGCATGAGCATTTTGTTTATCTTCTATTTAGATACCTTGTTGAAGAGAAAACTGATGGAGCACTTTCCACCTTTCTGTATGTCAACTATGTTTGATAATCATAGAATTAAAACAATTTATTCTGCTATCATATCGCAGATACTAAGATAACATTGTGTTGCTCTTAAGTTAAAATACATCATGAATACACAGTGAAGCTAGGATGATACTGTACAATGGTTGGAAAACTAATTTCTATAATAACCTCAAAAATTATGTTTTTAAAATACCATTTAAAAAATTACAATTTTAAAGTACCATTTAAAAAGTTGTTTCTATGTTTAATTGTTCAGGTTATGTGTACCATCATTATTGATCTATTTCTCACTTTTCTCTTAGGTTTACAAAAGACACTGCCAGGTTCAAGGATGAATTAGACATTATGAAGTTCATTTGCAAAGATTTCTGGACAACGGTATTCAAAAAACAAATAGATAACCTAAGGACTAATCACCAGGTACTCATGCTGTAGATTAAGATTTAACTTAGAAAGTCAGAGTTTTGAATTGCTAGTGCATTTTTTGTTTTTCTTGGTCTAGAATTAATTACCAGATAAGAAACTCAAAATGTTCCATATTTGTTTTGTTTAAAAAGAATGTCTTTCAATATTCATATTTAGAATACAATTTAATAATTGCCTAGGATGTCTTTATTGCCACCCTGTTCGAAAAGACTAAATGGTTTGAATTTCATATGCACTGTTGCAGTGTTACAAGAAAGGACGGTAATGATTACAGTTGATTAACATTTAAATGAGAACTTTTTAATCTGTCTCCTAATGTTAGTAAAAAGTAGTGAAAAAGTAATGTTACTCTCTTAACATATATTTAAATAGAATGGCCGCTGTGAAGTGATTTTTTTACTTTTAAGAATGTTAAGGGTTTTGAGCAGTTGAGACAGTTGTAATGTATTGATAGCACTGGAATAAGAAACAGTGGAGAAACTTCTCAGATTTGCATGTAGGTGACACTGTGCTGTATCCATGTGTTTCCTATGTCAACAACCACAGTTCTTAGAGCCAGAGCAAAATAACTTAAAGAGCCATTTCATTAGAGTAAAAAATAATTTTCCTATTCAATGACTTGGTTTTCTTATGGCCATTTCCCTGTTGTGTCAAATTAGGAAGAAGAGAATTTGTACAAGGATTGTGCCAAAAAAAATAGGTTTTATTTTTTAGTGACTTGTTTATCAAGTAATAACAGATATTTATTACTTTAGAAATCTGGGGTTTTAATTCAAAAAAGCTGCTGTATTGAGCTTAAGATCCTGATTGTATATGCCTTAAATTAAGTTCAAGGCTTATGAAAGTCTGAAGTAGCACAGTCAGTAGCAAGGAAATTAAAATGGCAGGTGTAGATAAAGCTATACTGTGTTTATACTTTATTTATTAAGATGCATATTGTTGCACAAAATTGTGTTGCAGAAAACGTCAGACTCTTACTTTGATTGTCTGCTGGGTGTTATTGCCTGTACTGCTATAAAGAATAATAATTCCCACTGAATTTGAGAATAAGAATAGAGATGTGCAAAACCCAATGAAGATTGACATTTGAATGTAAAAATCTGTATGCATTTGATATATTACCAAAGACTTTCTAGTTTGGAACTATTTTTCTGATCACTGGAAGGACTCCTCCAAGAAGAAATGTGCATAAATATTTTTTAGGGTTAACTGATGATATTATCTAGGGGTTTTGTTGTATACTCACAATTAAGTATATTTTCTTTTTATATTCCTTGTAACCAAATAATACAATTTAAATTTAAATATTCCTTAATATAACATTTTATTTTTCAGCCTGATATCATATATATTTTATCCACAAATCAAATCCATTCACAGAAAATGTTGATTTTATATTACTGCACATTTAACTAAACCCCTCCATTTTTTCTTTTTAAACAGGGTATTTATGTCCTTCAAGACAATAAATTTCGTCTCTTGACACAAATGTCTGCAGGAAAGCAGTATTTAGAACATGCACCAAAGGTACCCTTCAATTTTATCTGTGTGTAGGGCGGTCTACCAGTTTGGTTTTAATTACCTTGATCTATTAATAACTTTAAATTTTGTAATTAAATAGATACAAACACTTCTAATGGGCACCTAAAGATACGCCTTCAGAACCTGTGTGCTTTATAGAAAAGTACCCTGTTTTAGAATAGTGGATTTGATTTATAGGTCAAAAAATGGTCACGGTTATTGTGAAACTTGCTGCTGTTACCTTTGAGTTACTTCATGGTAAAGCCTATCTGCTACTACCTGCCACTGTCACACAAATTCTTTCTCTTTGGGAAGCATGTGTTTTCAGAAACTTTTAAAATTCCCTAAACACATTTGGAAGATGCTGTTTGTTACATAAAACAAACTTCTGAGATCTCGTGAATGTTCAAAAATATCTTCCACTAATTAAAAATAGTTTTGAGTGCAAGATGCTAAATTACGGTAGTAGTTCAGGTAAAATCAGTCCCTCTGTAGAACCTATCATAAAGCACTTTGGTTCAGGTGGATTTAGAAATGGGACATTCAGTTCTATTTTATGGTTTCTTAATTCTTGATCTTTAGTCCTCCCAATTGGCTATTGTCCTTGGGGTTTTTTTTTGTGTGTGTTTGGTGAAAGGTTTCTTCTATTTTGCAACACACATTTTAAGTATCTGCAGGCCTTTGTATTCTAAGGTATGGCCTGTGCAAGAATGCTGTTGTGGACTGTTTCTCCTTTCTTTACTTTAATACCAGTTTCTAATTTCAGCCAAGCCTTGGGAATAATTGTTTTAGGGATATTATGTTCAGGTTTATTAAGGATATTAAGATACAGGTTTAATGGAAAGAGAAAGTGAATAAAAATTCTGCCTCTAATGAGAACAATCTGTGTAGTGAGCTAAACTCTACCGAATACTGGAGCTTCAGCTATTAGAGACCTAACAAAGTCTCTCAAAACCTCCATGGTTTTCTGTTGTCCAAGTATTAGGTCATGTTCTTGAGTACTTAGTTTCAATCTTGACTGTTGACACTCATTTGAAGTGCAACTTTGTATTTAGTATTTAGCATTCACCTGTGGACTAATCAGAGGAGGCCTATCAAATCTGGGAATAAAGAGTATTGTAACAGCTGAAGTTTCATCAATGCCTGCATGTAAGTAGTACTTGGGGTGTTCAATTATTAGCTCACTTGGTAACTTTCTGACTGACTGTTGCTGTTACAAGCATTTTTTCAAGGTGGGATTTGTTTGAAGCTGCTGGGCCATAGGACTCCATGTGAACTTTGGGATACTATGGCTTGCCACTAAATCCTTTAGTATTTAGAAAACACTGACAGAGCATAAGCCTCCATGATGTCGAGTGGAAAGCAAAACAAAAAAGTCGTATTTACATCTGGAAGCATCACATGTGTAAGGATGTGTGTCCAGAAGGTTATTTGCACAAGTGAAGATCTTTCTCTATAGGAATCATTAGGAATGTTAGTAAGTGAAGACCACTGTAACTGTATAAGCTGCTCAATAAAAAGTTTTCCAGAGACTTGGTACAAATTGTAGGTTTAGCTGACAAAACTGTGATGTGGGATATGGTCAACTTACAGAGAAAAAAAAAAAGAGAAAAGCTGTTAAGCATGGAATGGAAATTTAAATAATGGTTCAACTGCTTACAATTAAACTATAAGATTGAAATGTTCCTTACTATTTATTTGAAAAAAAAATTTACAAGAAAATAATTACTTTGGAGAAATAATTCTAATGGTAATAATATGATCTGACTCTGCTTTTCCTGCAGGTAAATTTCAGGTCATGATACAGAAGATGTAGAGCACATTAAAATCTGGGTATCTACTTTAAAAAGCCTTTGTATGTGGATTCAGTATCTTGGCTCAGTCTTGTATATAACATGTAAATTAAAGCAGTGTGCAGCACAATTCCAAAATATATAATAAATGCTCATCGAAATAAGTTAACTCTATGCTTGTGTCTTGGTATGAAATTTATTCTATACCAAAGTAATAATGTTCACATGGTAAAAATCGTGTACTCTATATTCAGCAAAACATTTCAATTACCAAAAGAGTCTGGAGACCAGAGGCAGAGTTTGAGAACAGAGAAAAATCCTGACCAAGACTAAATCTGAATAAGAAACTAATGTGTGTTGTGTTACCCAAAGTGAATGCTCAACTGCTACCTTTCCCCATTCACTCTGAATTGGGAAGCAGGGATTGCTTTTGTATTTCTTTGATGGAGCCTGTTAGCACGTGAGTTCACGCATCATTAAAGATGTTAGGTGGAGACCTTTGCAGGAATATTGTTCAGGGCAGTAGAAGAAAACTTGTTTTTACATAGTTCATTAGTTTCTCCGGTCCCTAAAATTAGCAGCTGTTCCTTGAGTCAGAATGATTTATGCCTAAGGTCGTCTATACTGGCCAAAGGAAATTTATTCCACCTTGTTGTGCATAAAATCAGTATTAATGTAATTGTTTTTAATTGCTAGCTATGGTTTACTTCTGTAATGTACTACTCAAGAAGTAGTACTGTTTACGTTTTACTGAAACAATTGTTTCAGTAACGTGCTGGCTCTGGTTGAACTGCTAAGTAGTGGTAGAGCTCAGGCACCAAAACTCGAAAAAACACATTCAACCCTAACTGTATATTTCTATAGTAAGGCTGCTGTTAAATAATATGGAGTGAGAAAACCCACAATGTTTAAGAACAGTCTTTAAAATTCTTTAGTTTTATTTAAAAAGTCCTCAGTAAGTCTGTTAGAAAAAGAATAATTTGTCATGTAACCTCAGACTTCACCTAATAGCAGTGTCCATGGATTACTCAGATTGTAGAAATTTCTAACCAAGAATGTAGTTCACAAAGACAGGAGCTTGAGAGATGATGCAGGACACTTCAGTTATTACCATTTTACGAAGATGGTATTGGAGACACTGACAATCTCAGCTAAAACTCAGCTGAAGTTATTCAGAGTTGTCCCAAATGCATTGTGTGAGGGTGTTCTGAAGGGATTGTGTAATACTTCAGGTCTGAACAATGCAGTGTCTTTGCTGTTAACTCTGATAATGCTGTTTGTACTGTGGCAATGCAAAATACTGGATGTTCTCAAAACAGCCTAGGAAGGCTCATCAGCCAGGTCACGTTGATCGAAGTACCTAGGAATGAAGTGGAATATGGTAAGAAACATCCAATGCAACGTATTCCTTACTTCAGGTTCTCCAACCTATTGCTTTCTAGCTCATCTTTGAGTGTTGCTATCATAATTATGGCTTCCTGGATCAGGGGGCTCATCTGAAGAAAGGAGTAGGCTTACTTTGCTCTTAGATACATCTTAAATTCTTTTAGCTAAGTATATTTGCTGCATTTGCCCAGGGTACTTTTATTGACTTTGACTTTTAAAAGGATTTAGGTTAGTGCAAATAATCAGACATTTATGTTGGACATACATTACTGGTTTAGGTGTATAAATTGCATTACCTGCTAACTAAGCAGATGATCAAGTTCAGAGCTGATATTTGTTCTTCATTCTTGCTCTCCTGGAAAACAGATAAATATTACAACTCTTTTATTAACTGTGTCAAATAGAGAAGCTGTTACATGCCATGTTATGTGTATTTTTTTCCCTTCATTCTCAAGCAAACTTAGGACATGAAAAATTAATTATTAAAACTTCTGAAAAAAATCTTCCTTCACCAAGTCCTCTGCACAGTTATATTAAATCTTACCTCCAGTGCCCTGACTTCTGAACATCGCCTTGCCAGCTGTCGAATAAGGGAGTGAGCTTCAGGTAGCAAAGGTTTTTCAAGGCATGCCAACAGAGCATAAAGCCACCTACCCTGTGAGGATTCAAATAACAGAGTTTTAATTCTGAGCATTTCCTTGAAGATTCAAGCAATTCATGTTATATAGAGCAGGACTGAAGTGTCGCTCTCAAAACAAAACTGCATTCAAGTGCTATATCCTGTAATTGAATTTTGAAAACCACATTAGACACTTCATGGTAGACAGTTCTGTGTCTGTAGATAAGATTCTTGTGAGCACTGCTTCTGGGTTTCCTGGCATTTTTTTTGTACGCTGGCAAAGATATAAATTATTACAGCTGATTATTTTAGTAATATCTAAACATTATTACTTGGCTATTAATTTTTAACGTCACAATCTGTGAAAAATATTCCTGAAGACTGAATGTGTGAACTCAGATCTTTGTGGAATCAGTGGTTAGATCTGCTTTAAGATTTGCACCACTGCGAAAATATGTCCTTTGAGTTTTACATCGCTGAATTCTACTGCATTCTTACAAATTTAATTTCTCGTACCAGTCTAACTTTATAATTTAATCACAGTGTCTAGTAGCCTTCATTCTGGGACCTAACCTAAAAGTAAATGTGCACATTCTCTGCAACAAACATACTGGTTAAAAAGGAAACAGTCTTCTATAGGAAAGGACAGAATGTGAAATGTCTTCAAGTCACTGAAAAAAATAGTGAAATTATGCTAAGCATCATGTAATTTTTAATTACTCTTTTGCTTTGTGGTACTGAAGGAGATGAGATGCATCCACCAAGGTCTTCTGTAGATACGGTGCCATTACACAGCTGGTCAGTCTAGTTGTGGCCAAGCTCCATGGCAATATAGCCATATATAATCAGGAGTTCTTTGGTTTGATTTGTCGCCACATGAATGCAGCTTAGCTTTCTGGTCTGTGCTGCATGTAGAAAGATTAAATGTGTCTTTGCCAGCACACTGTAATGCACCTCCAAACTAAACTGGAGTTGTTGGTAAATAGTGTGCAGCACCCTGACAGAACCAAAGCTGCTGTAAACTCTCTAAACCTTGATACTCATCAAGCCTAGTGGCTTAAGTTAGTGGGGCGAGTGATACAAAGGGGAGGGAGTTTGGTACAGTACTTTTTATGTCTGTATCCGTTACGTTTTATAATTTCAGCCTTCCAAAAACGAATGTAAATACTCATTTAAGTATGAAGAAAATTTTGAAAGTAACAATATGATACAACCATCTAGAGAACTCTTTAGAAAATTAAAATAATTTAATAGAAAATTGCAAACAATTTATTGTTTGTTTAATGCATTCATGTGCAAGTAGTTAGAATAAATCAAAAATTACCAGTTCTGGAGTAAATTTTTTCTCTCCAAACCAGCTTATCAGGTATTCTAAGACACTGGTCACTGTTGCCTTCAAAAGAGGAACAGAAAGAGACGATATAGTATCTGCAACATTTTGTTTTGCTGCTTTTCTGCCCGAAATATTTTATTATATAAAACGTATTTCTACTCCACATTATTTATTCCAGGTTGAAGTTACATGTAAGGGTAAAGTAAGTGTTAAAGTACCACTTTTTGGGAAGAACTTTGTATGAAATGAAGTGCTTTTCTGTTTTAACAAAAAGTTATGGATAAGTAGCTACAGATTAGGAAAGAAGCATCACACTGACTGACTGGTCAGTTGTGTGTAATGGTGGCAAGTGGGAAATGTAGTAAAGGCAAGATAAGTGTGATTCTTCTAGCTTTACAATGTACATCAAAGTTCATAATCAAATTGAAGGACTGCACTTAAAACACTAAATGAGAACAACTGCCTACTCTAGGCAAAGAAAAATAGATGAACCTTCTGCAACAGAACATGAGAAACAATGATAATTTAGGCAATGTAACTATATGATTCTAAGAGGTAAGCTTACCTGATTCATCCTACTTACAATACTTAGCAAAGGGGGAAAGCCCACCTGAAAAAAAGTTGGAAAATGCAAACACTATCACAAACATTTTTGTTCTAATTTAGAACATACTGCCGTTTTAATTTGATGTTCAGACACTTGTGACTTCAAAGTCTGTTCTGAGCTTTAAAATTTATTTTAAAAGTATCTTCAAGAAAGTTGAAGGTCCAGTGAAGTATCAGAGCACCTTGCTTCTACTGTTACTTGTTAAAGTTTTGGTTTTTTTAAATGATGCAGTAAAGAACATGTTTGTAGGGTATCACATATAAGGAGGGTAACCATATATCACTATGCAACAAGATACTAAAGCAGACTATGAAGAAAACTTCCATTCGGTTCAGTGAGAACAAAGTAATGACTTTAGCTGATAAGAGATGAAGGAACTCTTCAAATTTTGACTGAAGACACAGACTTATTTTCTGCTTCACTTAGTTTCTGCATAAAAAGAATGTTTTTATGAAACAAGTCTCAGAACACTGGAACTTTCTGGGCTCACCAGAGTCTACTTTCTATTTGGCACAAAGTGGTAATAAACAGTAGGATTGTTTCTGGCAGTTAGTCTAGAAAACAGCTGCTGAAAATTAAATAGAAGTCCTATGCTCACCTTCATGTAATCAATTCCTAAATTTTCATTATCAGGCAGTGCCTCTATTTCTGAGTACACTCTTTCACCGAGACAGAACTTCTTCCAGCCTTCTTCATCCTCTGATTTTGGCTGAAGTAAATAAAAATAAATGAAAACTATGTAATACTGTTATCTCAAAGATACTAGAGAAAAGACTTGATAATACACATAAATTGTTGCATGCAACTATAAAGCAAGATTAACTGTGGATTCAATAACTGGGAAAACAAACCACAGAGCGTTGTTATGAATTCTACTCACCATAGTAACATTGCTGTCCAAATGTTGTGACCGCCAGTGATTCCTGTGCTTGTTCAGGCTCTGAGTAATTAAAACAAAGTCAAATCTCAATTTGACTCTGCAGCTATTTTATCCTAGCCACAAGGGCTCTTCATTATTCTTAAAATGTATGAAAAGTATATTTTATGACTTTGTATAAATCAGTAGATATATAGTCAGCACAACTGGCTAAATATCTCCCATGCCTCTTAGCAGAAATGTAATTAAGATGTTCATCCTGGGTTTTTCGAAGTAATGTTAAAGCTGAAGGCATTTTGAAGTCTATTACATAAGGTTAAGCTAAGGTAGTAAGCTTAAATAGTCTTCCAGACTTTTCTTGTTAGAACAATCTTAAGAAAAAAGCCACTTTGATTTAATCCAAGAGCACACAGAAAGCCAATATGCTGTTTCCAACAGTGGTCTGTATCTGTCTCAGAGGCCTACAGAATTGTTTGAAAGAAGGCAAGTGTGGTTTCTTAGCACATATCTTCTACCTGGCAGGAATCCTGTGTAAAACAAATTGGCCTGCTTAACAGTTACTTGTAGAGAGCTGTAAATGTTCTGTAGCAGAAGAAATTTGTCTCTCACTCCAATTGTCACTGTAGCTGTAAAAGACCACTAAAACCTCTCTAAGTGACAGCAGCTGATGCAGTAGTTGAACAAGTGAATTCTGATGCTCATTTTTGTTTTTAAGTACTTTTTAGGATAGTCTCGTATTTCAGTTAATTCTGGTATAGATGAGGAGATGATTGATTTGAGCATAAAAGAAATACCTATATAGTGAATAAGCCTTTAGATGTCAGTCTTCTTAGTTCTGCTAAAACCTTAGATTATGCCTAATATACAGGATGCAATGTGATCCCTTGCAGAAACAGGGGTAGCTCAGATACTGTTTACAATGCAGATGCAGTAGTACAGATCTCCTCCTTCACTAAACTTTCCTCCCTGACAGAAACACAGTATGTGAGCTCATGCAGAGTTCAGTGCTAGAGCAGCTCCTAGCTGGTCACACCTCAGTACTTGAGGTTCTCCTACAATGCAGCATAAATGCTCTGTAAACATGCTGTCTGCAGCACTGGAGTCGCAAATGACCTCTACCTACATCTTTATTATATTTTCCATTTCACCCTGTTTGAACTGTGCATATAGAATAGTAGAATCATAGATTTAGGTTGGAAGGGACCTTTACAGGACATCTAGTCCAACCCCTCTTCCATGGGCAGGGACATCTTCATTTAGATCAGGCTTAGAGCTGCATCCAACCTGACCATTAGTGTTCTGAGGGATGGGGCATCCATCCCTCTCTAGGCAGCCTGTGCCAGTGGTTTACCACCCTCATTGTAAAAAAATTCTTCCTTATACTTAAACTAAATCAACCCTCCTTCAGTTTAAAACTTTAGTAAAGCTTAGCTGAACTTAGAACCTTTACTCTTTGAGACTGCTTAATTTTCTGTTCTTGTATTATTTCAAGCAGGGTGCAAATGTATCCAGAAAGATTAAAGCCTGTGCTAACTCTATAACCTTACAAATATGTTTTACCAAATCAGTATTTATCCTCATAATGGGTTGCCACATCTGTCAACAGGTTCCTAAATGGACTTTATGAAACTCCTGATGGGTTAGAATCCACTTGGTTCTTAGTTTATGTAAAGTTCTACAGAACATTTCCTGCAAGCACTATGTTTTAATATAACTGCATAACATCATAGGGGTTTCCATTCTCAGCTATGCCATATCATTTAATGATATTTTTGTTGAAGGAGAATTTCTTAAATGTGACTCTCAAGAATTTTATCAGAGGTTTAAAAGCCACACCGTATATGTTCAATTAGCTTTCAAGAACTTAAAACACTTGCCTATAAACACCTATCCTGCTACAAAATCATAACATTTCTCTACTAGCTATAAAGTTATCCCATGTAAAGCACAGATATGTTCTATCTAGACCCCTCACAGACGATCTTGTACCTGACGAACAGCTGAGAAGTTGGCCACTTGCTGCTGCTGCCACTTGAGTGTTGGAGAGTATCCCTCAGGAGCAGGCTGACACCCAGAAATCTGAGAAAACACTGGCAATAATTATAATGTAAAGAGAGCTTTATAAGAAGAATCCTTAAGAACAAGATAATCAGTAAATGTTTACTGTCAGGTAAACATTATCCTTTAAATCTTCATCTAAGAAAGGTAATTTCATTACTATATCCAAGGGCGTGTTAAGATTTTGGTTTAGACAAAATATCTTTTGTTTGACTCTTCCTATATGTATATAAGAAGGAAAACTAAGTGTTCAAAATACATTGTCAAAGAATTTCTTATGGTCTTCCTTTCAGCAACTGTTCTGCTTTAATCTCCCCGCTCATAAAAAACAGGATGCTGTTTCCTTATCTGGGATAGATACTATCAATCTTAGGCATTCTACCTGTCAAGACAGTAGGTTAAGGAAGACAGAAGACCATAAAACCATCTAGGAAATTAAGTCTAATAGTTAAGTAGCTATAACCTATTTAAAGATTAGCACTGAAAAGTTATTAAGCAAAATCTTTCTACAAGTGTTTAAGAATGTCACTACACCGATGAGACAGATGAAGAGAATGGCTACAGAAGTTACAAGGTCATGTCAGTATTAGAAACTTTTTTTGAGAAATCTAGTAGTGAAATCCCAGATTACATCACTGTCTTTGGAGAAAGGCAAACTATTTGAAAGGAGATTAAAAACCAAGATGGCAGGGCAATACAACAACAGAAAAATCAGCTTCAACAGTAAGAATAAGTTCCAATAAAATATTCCTTCTAAAAGGAAATTAGTGATGCTAGAATTTCATCTAACTTTAGTAAAGCTTAGCTGCACTTACTACCCTTATGCTAGATACAGACTTAAACCCAAAGACAGGTATGGATATATTTTTCTTCTAAAATTTATGCAGGTTTTATGATTAAATAATTGTAAAATTTAATGCAACATTTGATTTCCTCGGACAGTAAAACAGTGCTGCGTATCAAATAGTATGGGGTTTATAAATTTAATGAGTTAGAAAGACTGCTGTTACCCAGCAGTTGAGTAGGGGTTTCTTTAAACACAGACATTTAGTTCTGTAGATGCTTTTAGAATCTAGCAGTGCTATTCAGTTATGCCAATAATTCCCCAAAATTAATACAAACATCATTGTAGTAACATCTTTCCCCCCTTTTTTTTCCCCTCTCAAAACGTGTAAAAGCCCTGAAACTTACTGAAATGTTTACTGTCGGCTTCTTTTTCAATTTTCTGGGATCTATTTGTGCCACAACCACGTCAGGACATCGAGCTGCTTCAATCCTACAAAATAGAATCAAGTGGGCTGCATTTTTTCTTTCCTGTAACAGGTCGATATATACCGGATGTCTTTGAAATACTCATAAAATCATGGAGGGACCAATCGAGATCATTGAGTACAACTCCGTTCACAGGACAGCCCAGAAATCACACCCTGTGCCCGAGGGCGCTGTCCAAATGTTTCTCGGACTCTGCCAGGCCTGGTCCTGTGACCACTGCCCTGGGGAGCTGTTCCAGTGCTCAACCACCCTGCGGGTGAAGAACCTTTTACTGACACCCAGACTAAACCTCCCTTGGCACGGCTTCATGTCGTTTCTTCGAGTCCTGTCGCCGGTCAGGAGAGGGAAGAGATCAGTACCTGCCCCTCCTGCAGGTGTGTAAAGCACCGACTGTGCCCGCGAAGGGCAGCACCGCACGGCCGCCCTGGCGCGTCCCGTCACGAAGCCCGGCCCGGGCAGCACCGGCTGCCGCACCGCTGTCGCGGGAAGGTGACGGCCCCGGCCCATCCGCCCCGCCACTCACTGGACGCGCTTCAGATACTCCTGGGGTGTCCTGGGAGGCACGGTGGGGTCGAAGTCCTCGGCCAAGTCACAGTCGCCCACGGGCAGCAGCCGCGGCATCAGCTCCTCCATGCCCGGCTCCATGGCCGCGCCGCCCCGGCGGCAGAGCCCGCCCGGCTGCCGCTGCTCTCGCGAGAGCGGCGATGTTCCCGCGGAGCCACGCGGGCGGCCGGCTTACCGGCCGGGATGTGCCGCCGTCTGCCCGGGGCGTCTCGCTTAGCCTGGGGAATAAAGGAAATATGGCCAAACAGCAGTGGCAGAAACGGGTTTGCCAGTTCACTGCCCATCAAACTAGGCCTGGTTTTGTGGTGAACAGGTGTAAATCTTTAATAACTTCTTTCAGTAGGCCCTGTGCCATTATTCCAATACACTGTCGTTTTTGCCAAAGGTTCTTTAAAGCTCACCCATTAGTACTCTCTTATTTTACCTGTGAACAACCAGTATTCATAATACTAGTCCCTTCCTTGAAATGCTTTAAGATCTGTGGATAAAGTCACATTAAAGTTAATGATTATAAATTTACACAGAGTTCCCATTCTGGAAGAGTCAATGCCTGAGTTGTTGCTTTATGAGTTTTTCTGAAGACTATAATGTGGGAGCACCCACATGTTAGAAAGCAAGGTAGCATTTGCACAGGGGCATTGTTTCCCAGGTAAGATAAAAAGCGGAAGGATGGTGCTGTAATCATTTACATTGTGTATTATGAAATTCCTGTTACACAAAATGTCAACCAGTATATTATCTTTCCGATACTTCTGCATGCAAAGCCTATTTAGATCTAATATTTCAGAGCAGTTTTAGATACTTTTGACACAAGTTTTTTTTAAAAAAAACCTTTTTTTTTTTCTTGATCCCCTGCAAGTCTGTATTTCAGTAGTTCTAAATAAACATCTACCTTAACTCCTCCTCTCCATGGCTTTTGTTTGTTTTAAGGTGTTTCCAAAAGCACCTATGTGTACCAGGGAGTTTTATTTCTGAAACCCGGATCTAACGTCCTAGTTGAGTATGCAACAATTGCAGCAATTGCACTAGAAATAAAACCTGCTTAGTTAAGCCTACAGCGATAACTCTGGAAAGGCTGACTGATGATCAAGACAAAAACTTTGGTGAGTCCAGCTATATAAAGTTAATTTCTAATACTTTAGTAATATTCAGAACTTATTTTTCCTATTTCTTGTAAAGTCCAAAATTATGAACAGAAAGAGAATTCACAGATATAAATACACTTTAAATATACTTTCTGTCTTTAGATTACTTTTTCTGGACCTTTCCATTGATACTTTTTAAACAAAGCAACATATTTTGAATTATTACAGACAGTCTTCCACAAGTAATAAAATTGTTCCTAACAGGTGTTACCAACAATGCTGATGCAATGGCTAGCAAATATGACTCAGTGGAGAAAGAGGAAAATGAAACTGGAAATGTACATATTTCTCCTCAGCTACTTAGGTATTAAGGAAGAGTACTTTTGCAAAGAAAGGGTGAGCTGCATTAATGGATATGTCTGGTTGGCTTAAAAAAAAAAAAAAAGTAACACATAAATCCTGCATATGAAAAATTAAAATGCTTTCAATCTACATTCTAGATACGAATATAGGGAGCTAGCAAAATATTTTTATATTATGAATAAATGTGTTTATATCTATTTTCTACTTTTTTCCTTCTCCTTGATTTTATCTGTGGTTCGCACCGTCGTTAACAGCTGCAAGACTTTTCTTTAAGTTTAGAGCATTGGATTGAGTTATTATGTAATGAAATTTAATTGTGCTGAAGATTAATTGAAAATACTGAATATCTTTTATTTCTAGTGAACTTTCAGAGTAGTATACTTTCCTGTTTTCCCTTCTTGCCCTTTGAGTGTCTTTAAATGTCAGCTGCCTCTTTTTCTGTTATTTATAGAGTTCATCCTGCAGTTTAGACTTCGGGACTTGCCCTTTTTTAAGGTAATTTTCTGAAAATGTTTCAGAAGGTATTTGAATACTTTTGTAATTACAACACTGAGTCAACTTATGTGCATCTATTTGAAACTCGCATTGTTGTGGGGTTTTGAGGTTGGTCTTTTTTTTCTTTTTTCTTTTGAGTTCAAAGTGAGGATGTTACATGTCATTGGCAAGCTCCTACTTAGTACTCCTACAAATGGCAGTGAGATTTGTGGACGAGGAAATTTAAAATCCCTCCCGTAAATTCTGCTGTTATTTACCTGTTCCTGCTTTTACACTGAAGAGGACTGGTAAACCATACTGCAGAAAGTAATGGCAAAAAAAAATATCTATAATAATCACATTTGACATATATGAAAAGAGGATTTGGTTGTTTTAGTCATTTGTATTTGCGTGGTGGTCACAGAATGTTTTCCGAATTGCAATGAAGGAGGGAGGGTATGGTAGTCAGTCAGCAGAATGTTTTTCAGTCCTTCCCCATGTCTGGATTAGTTGCACTAAGACATCTCAGGAAAAACAGAGGTTCTGTTCCAGCCTTTCATGACAGGTTTGTTAAAAACAATTCCTGAAACTGAAGAGTCACTATAACTTGGGTTTGGGGATAAGAAGTTGACCACACTAACAAACACATGTAGTAATGGCTATGTGATAGTTACTGTAGATAGTAAACGTATTAAATATTTCTAAAGACGAGATAAAGGATTGTTTCAGGCTAAAACCCCCAGGCATATAATTTCAGTATTTTTTTCCCCCAGGCACTCAGAAGAAACATGTAAACAATCTTCCAGATAAAAAAGTTGCCATAAGTACACATGGTGGAAGATGGGAACAAGCAGGGTGAGCTCAAGGACTCCCGGAAGCCCGGCTGTTTCGATCCCGAGAAATTCCGTGCCGGATAGAGCAGCGGCGGGCAGAGCAGCGCAGCCACCGGCGGGGCCGCAGGCAGCCCCGGTACCCGGGCACAGGCGCAGCACGGGGCAGCTGAGCGCTGCCGGAGGGGAGAGAAGGCAAAACTGCCCGCGGTGGTCGGGCTGCCCTTTTTTCCTGAATGGATGCAGACGACCGACCTTCAGAAGAAAGCCGAACAGGGCAGCGAGCAGACATGCGAGCAGGAGCTGTCAAGGCGGCGAAGTGACAGCCCGAGCTGCGGCACAGCTGAGGCCGGCCCCGCTGCGCTGGCCGGGCATGCCCGGGGGCTGCCCCGGGGCGGGGGAGCGGCGGAGCTCAGCCCGCCCCCGCTCTCTGCCCCTTGACGTGGCGCGGACTCTCCCATCAGCCATGTTGATGCGTCGGCAGCGCCGCGGCGGCTGCGAGCCAGCGGGCGGGGACAGCGAGCGCAGCGGGAGCAGCGGCGGCGGCCGGGACGCGGGTGAGCGGGCTGGGCAGCGCTGAGGGGGCAGCGCAGGGCGCCGGGAGCCCGAGCTGGCGGAGCTGGGACGCCGCGGGGAGGAGAGGCGGCAGCCCCGCTCCCTGTGCTGGGGGCCACGGCGGGCACCACGGGCCGCGGGGCCCCGCACGGCTGCCGGGCCTGGAGCGAGAGTGGTGGGAGCTCCCCGTATCCCCTCCGTGGCAGTGGGGGATCTCCGGGTGCCCGAAACTGCTCTCTGCCCCCAGGCCCGAGGGTCTGGGGCTACCGCCGCCGCTGGTCGGCACCGCCCGCGGCCTCCTGGGCCGGGGCTGGGCAAGCAGCGCCCTTCCCGTGCGGCGGGGAGTGCCCGCCGGGTCAGGGATGGGCGAGCGGCCCCAGCAGCCCCTAGCTCGGCCGGGGCTGCCGGCATTCGGGTAGGGCCGGCGCGGCTCGGCCTTTCCGCGGCCGGGGGTAAAAGGGCGGCGCTCTCCGGCAGCGCCTACGGAGGTCCTGGTTCCGGAGCTCTGCTCTACCTATGTAGCTGTGCTTCTGACGGGGGTGCCTTGCGTTGTAGGTAAAGCTAAAGGAAACGCAGACCCTGCTGCCTTTGATTATGTGTTGATTTTTTTAAAATTTAGGTGGGTTATCACATACCGTGGTTGTTTAAAAGCAAAAAAGTTTTCAGTGAGAGGTCTGGGAGAGCAGATTTGGAGGATGGCTGTGTTTGAGTGGTGAAAATGGCAGCAGCTTGCTTATTTAAACCATTCCGCTCATGTATTTTAGTTACTCCTTGGAACTGAAATAGGTTTGTATCTGGTATGTGATTTGGGCATTAAAAATTAATTAAGGGTTTATTATTAGCCTCTTTTACCAGATTATTGGTGCGTAATAAACTGAGAGAATAGGTGTGTTGTAAGAAAAGCGTGCAGTGAACTGGACTAATTTAGTGGTAGTTAATCTCTCATAGCACCATGTGCTTTCGGTCTGTCTATGCTGGAACTCTTACAATGCTGTAGAGAAAAATGTTTTGATTTTGTTGGTATATGTGTGCAAGGATTAGGGGATATTATTTCGGGGATATTCTGTTTTGGGACATACTTATCTGTGATCTGTAAACGTTGAAAGATGCTGATAGTCAACCAGTGACTCTCAATGCAATTCAAGTTTGGCTTCTTTTGTAACACACAGTTGAGATTGTCATGGTGCAGGGTTGCAAGGTGCATTCAGCCTTAGCAGTGGAAGGGAGGAAGCAAGCCAGAAAGAACTTCGGTTTTTTTCTGGATATCCGAATCTGCAGCAAAGCAGTGACACCCCAAGGTGGAAACTGTTGCTGTTCAGCTGTTCTGAAAATTCTTTTTCTGAGATTTTCTGAGGAGGGTAGTGTGTATTTTGTGGCATTCAGGTGTCCGAAATCTGGTGTGTAGCCTGTAGGCCAGGAGGGTTTGCTGTTCTTGTGTAATGCAATACATCTCCACTCCTATCAGAAAATGTGTCTGCTCAGCTGTAACAATGGTACTAAATTTAACTTGCCAGACCAAGAGTTGCCCACTTGATGAATGATGAAATAGCTTAGCATTATTGGCTCTTGAAAAGGAAGAAGAGGATAGAAGAAAAGGTGGAAGAGACCTGGATTATTCTTGTATATACTTTTGCCTTCCAAATAGGAAATCCACACTTAATAGAAAATAACAGCATTTAACTCAGTAAATCCAACAAATCGTTTATGTATCTATGTGCACGTGATTAGTCACTGCACACTGGTATTTGAACATTGCCCTTTAAGGAGCAATAACTGAGTGGTAAAAGTAATATCCATGTACAGCCATTTTAAACGTAGCTAGAGTAAAATGTGGAGAAAACACTTTGAAGTCCAGGACAGAAAGTGTGACACGTTGCAGCGTTTGGAGCTGGATTTGGTGAGTCTATAGCTGCTGCCAGTGAATGGCTGAAATAGACTTTAGTTGCAATTTTCTGTCTTCTCAGGAAATAATTTTTAAATGGAGAGATTACTCGGTTTGTTGTAGTGGAGATAGTTGCATTGTGCAGATTCTTGCATTAATATCCCATTTTTCAGAGATAATGTTCCTTTAACTTGCTTACAAAACATGAATGGATTTTGATTTATTAGGAGAAAAATTTCTTAAGTTCTATATCCCCTTCAAATGCCAGGCTGTTCTTTCCTTTCTTAGCTAATTTCTGTCTCTGATTTCTCAGTAGTAGTTACAACTTCCAAATATTCTCTCCTTTGCTCTGTTTTGTCCCCTGATCAATGGCTTTGCAGCAATTTGAGTAAAAGCAATGGTGGAAATGCTCTTATGTACAAAGTCCCTCATGCTCCCTGTGTTGTAATTGCCATGATGTGTTTAGATAGGAGTAGCTTTGCTCCTAATATCAGTAAGATGTGCCCATTAAAATATTGGCAGTTGATTATTTCCTAAGAAGGATATTAACTGTGAAATGCGGCACTTCCCTTTGTTTTATGTATTTTATCTGTTTATTTAAAAATTATGATCAGAATAAAAGCATTAAGTTAGGCTATAATTTAAAATAACTTGAAAAGGTTTTAACTGTCATAGTAACTAAAGGTGCAATGCTATTGTAATTTTGATAGCTAGAAGTAAGTTTTGATAAATTGAGTTTCTGTGAGTCTTCTGTTATGTATGTAAGAACTAAGAATGAATGTCAGTGTGCTTGGGAGAATTCCTGATGTAAATTCCAATTTAGGAGGGTTCCAGCATTTCTAATAGCTGTTCATTAACTTTGTACAGTGTCAATTGAGATGTACAAGTATTTCTGCTTCCTCTTAGGTGGTTCATGTAGGCTTTTACAGTAAATCCTTAATTATTAGGCAGTGCGAGTTTAGATATCCTAGCTCCTGGAAAAACCTGTGCTATGTGTACTATAAAAGGTACTGTGTAGCATGCAGCAGATAGTCAGCAACAGTGTGTATATAGCTGAGGAGTTTGGGATTGGAGGGAGGGAGTGTTCTTTGCTGACTTTATCAGATGTTCACAGATACCTGTTGAGCTTTTACGATGTCCCCAGTCCTCCAACTTCTAAATAATCATAGCAGAACATTTTGAAAGCCTTAAGTCAATGGCCAAAATGGCAAATTTGAATTCAAAGAATTGTTTAAAAGTGCTTCGTGGTACATAATGTATTTGGAATATGACACTTGTCTTTCTTACAGAGTTACTTCCTGGCGTTGCTATAGGAAGGTACTCTTGTGGAATGTCATGTTGTTATTCCTTTATGTTTGCATGTAGACTGCATCATAAGATAGCAAAAATATGGTTAGAAACTCTTAAAAATTTTTATGCAGCAGAATTTTGTTTCCCCTTAGAATCCTGCACGTTGCTTTTAGGATTTAAGAAGCTCTTCTCAGTGTTTTATTGACTGTAACTCAGTTACAGTATTTGAATATGTGCCTGTCATTACATGCATTCAGCATTTAGTAGTTAAAAGTCTTTGCATATCAACATTCTGCTGATGGTTATCTTTTTATTTTAGTGTTAAGGAGAGAAGTTGATCATGACAACCTTCCTGGAATTTATCCAGCAGAATGAGGACAGAGATGGAGTTAGATTCAGCTGGAATGTTTGGCCTTCAAGTCGTCTTGAAGCTACAAGAATGGTAGTCCCGGTGGCTGCCCTCTTCACCCCACTGAAGGAACGGCCAGACTTGCCTCCTATTCAGTATGAGCCAGTGTTGTGCAGTAGGACCACGTGCCGAGCTGTTCTGAATCCCTTATGGTAAACTTAATGCATGTTATTGTTCCAGTACTTTGCCTTAGAATCTTGAGGACAGTGCTAGCTAAACTATGGGAAAGATCTGGCATATGGAAGTTCAGGTACTCCTCACATCATTATGCAGCACAGACTTACAGGCCTTAGAAGGTTCTGCACATAGATTTGCATATGTAACATATTTACTGAAAACAGCTTTCACTTAATAAGTAGTTTCAATGTACTTGGTATTGATTAGGTGTGTTATTTTTCTGCAACTATACATCTTGGGAGTTAGTATACTCTTGCATTTTGCCTCTAGAAAATGACTTGAGTAAAAAAGTTACAATACTGTATCTTTTGAACTGTTGGACCCTGATATAGTTTAATTTCCCAGTGAAATAAACTGCATTTATTGCTGACATTAGTTCATTTATGGACCAAAGCAGGTTATCTGTTTCAGTTGACCAAAACAGAAGAAGATAGGAAACATCAGAAGTAGGCATGAAAGAGGGTAGAAAGCTGTTTAAGCTTAAGGGTGATACTGGTACAAGCTCAAATGGCTGTGGACTAGTCATGGGTAAGTTTGGGTTGGAAGCAGAGGAGATGTTTCATTTGTCATTCCTGTCACAGTAGTATGGAAAAGAAGCAGAATGATTTCTGGGTTGGAGTTTGATAGGCGTGGGAAGAGTCCTAATTGATAGAGATTAGACATGATGTCAGAGAACCTGTAAGAATTTAATGTTATGAATGACTTCTCCTTGCCTGGGAGAAAAGACAGCTTCAAAGCAGATGTAAAATTGTGTTTCAGTATTAACCAGCAGTGGCTGGTTATACTGGGAGTCATACTTAGTTGAAGTTAACCTTTTCAGAAGCATTATCTTTTATTGAGGGCTGGAAGAAAAACAATGAAAAGACAAAGTTGTTAAAGGTCAGACAGATGCCAGCATTACAGTGAACTGTGTACATTTTTCCTGTGTTGTATGTGCAAATAATGACTGGGTTTTTTTCCCCTGAAAGGGTGGTTAGAGACTCAATCTGAGGAGACTTTAGAAGCCTGTGTGGC